GTATAGAACTGAATTTATTCTTACTTCGGTTAGCTTTCGCTTACTTTTCGCTTTGTGGCCAGCGTTTGATAAGGTCCCTAGAGAGGTGTTCTCTCAATTAAAATAATAAAAGTTTTTGTTATTTGTGGTTTTTCCACATTCATGGGGGTCCTGTGCCCCTAACCCCAGTGAATGTGGAGGGACAAATATAATCCAGTCTAAGACTGCTTTAACTGTCCTGGCTGAGTGCTAGGGAATCCTGGGAATTATCATTTATTGCCGCACCAGAGCGCTCTGACAGAGAAGGCTAGATGTCTCCCAAGACTACAGTTCCCAGGATTTCACAGCATTGGTCCCTGGAAGCCAAGATGACCAAACTGAGGCTGTCATACTTCAGACACATCATGAGAAGACTCATTAGAAAAGACGATAATGCTGGGGAAGGTGGAAGGAAGTAGAAAGAGAGGAAGGCCACATGCCAGATGAATGGACTCTATTAAGGAAGTCACAGGTATTAAGGGGTTGCAGGAATTAAGCAGAGCAGCGGAGGACAGAGGGTCTGGGAGATGTCTCATCCATAAGATCTCCATGTGCTGAGATCGACTCGAGAGCAGTTAACAACAAAAATCTGAAGTAGACTTAGGGGGTTGCAGACTGCCAGAAATAGTGCAAATTGAGTCCACTTTTAGGGTTAGGGTTAGTGCTAGGGAATCATGGGAATTGTAGTTTTTTTTCCTGAGACATTGAGCCTTCTCTGTCAGAGAGCTCTGGTCCCACAATAAACTACAGTTCCCATGATTCCCTAACCCTAAAAGTGGACTCAATTTGCACTATTTCTGGCAGTCTGCAACTCCCCTTTGTCTAGGAAAGTGCATACTGCCCACTTCATTATTTCAGTGATTTCTGGTACAGACTGCCAGAAATAGTGCAAATTGAGTCCACTTTAATTAGTTTCAAAGGTGCTACAAGATTTGTCTGCATACAGAAATAATCCAGTCTGAGACTGATTTAACTGCCCTAGCTGAATGCTGGGGAGTTCTGGGAACTGTAGTTTTGTGAGACATTGAGCCTTCTCTGTCTGGGGCCACAATAAACTACAATTCCCAGAGTACTGAGCTATGGCATTTAAAGCAGTCTCAAACTGGATTATTTCTGCAGTGTGGGTGCAGGCTAGGCTGGCCCGTGTGTGTCTCGGTGTGTGTGGGTTCAAACCCATTTATTATGTGGGGATTTAGGGGGGTTGCAGACTGCCAGAAATAGTGCAAATTGAG